ATATATTGTTAATAAACACATACTTGTTAGTAGTTTGGAATTTGGAAGAGACTTTCCCATATGTTTCCCATAAAAATATGTTTCTAAGGCAACCCATAGAAATCAGCTTAACTCATATTTGTACCTGAAGTTCACTTAAAAATATAAATCACATCCTATATTTTGAACAGTGTTTCTGAACAGGATGGGCAGCAGTGATAGTTCCTATGTGCTGATACTGGTCTTTTGGTAGAAAGGATTGAAAATGGGGGCCTGTCCTGGAGCTATTGGAAACGGGTAAGCGGTGATATGAGGGGTTGGGTCAGAAATGTTGGATTAAGAAAAAGAGCTAGAGGACTGAATCAGAATAGCAGTGGAAAACTTGGTAAGGTGGAGACAAGAGTGTGTTTCTGAAGGAGAGTACTTGAAGCGGGGGCTGGCATCCTGCAGGAAGGTTTCAGAGTGAAGAGGAGAATAAAGATGAGGAACAAAGGAGCCGGAGTGGATGATTACAGTATCCGCTCTTGAGCTGACGTGGTACTTCACCACCCACCATGCAGCTAAGGATCAGTTAAAATAGTTGTTGGCTTTTTCCTTACAATTTTGCTCCTTTATATAACTATTTTACCAAAACTAATTTATGTAATTGTTAATATGTCCTTAATATTTAGACTATGCATATTTCACATTTTTGAACACCCTTTCTCATATTAATATTGCTCATTTTTTGTACTTGTATTTTTACAATTTTTTTGCAGTTTAACATCTTAGGGATATTTAATTAGCAGTTGGCTAAAATTCACTCTTTAGCCTTCGGCATTGAATCAGAATTTTCCAATCTCATAAACAAACAAAAGTCTTGTTTTCATTTTCATTTACTGAAAGACTGAGAAGTTTGGTGTACTTTATTTTCACGTGGTAATTGGTTTTCATATTTCTTTGTGAATTGCTTGTTGGTTTTCCTATTTCCTGGAGGACATTTTCTTTGCTTGAGTGGGAGTTGTTGATATTAAGAATGTCAGCAAACTTTCATATCTATACCTTTATGTGCATACTGAAAACAAGAAAGAACATAAGTCAAATACAAAGATACTTTCCCTTTTTCTCATATCTTTTGCTTTACTTGAGGTCCTCACCATCTGAAAGTTACGTAATCATATCAGTCTTTTCCTTTAAGGTTTCTACTTCTATATGTGGTTTAAAAGATGTTTCCAGTACCAGCTTTTGAAACTACTTAGCTTTTTTTTTCCTAGAACTTTTAGAAGCAATTACCTTTTACACATTCGGTTTATAACTCCTTCATAATGTTTTGATGCTTGTACTTGTCAAATGTTTAGAATACAGTATATAAATTTAAAGCAGTGACCATAAAACCTTCCAGCTGTGAGGTTCTGAGATTGCTTCTATTTTAATATATATAAGGAATAATCAAAATACATGATGAATGTTTAAATTTTTTTAAATTCGTTAAAGTAGAAGACACATTGCCTTCTTAAAGTGCTCTCCTTCGCTTCAGACACATTTACCTCATTGTTCTTGCCGCTTTCTGAGCGGGTCTGGAAGTCCTCGTGCATATCTGTACAAGCTATGATAAAAGTACAGTGAGTGTCGCTGCCGGATACCATCCCATGCAAAGGCAGGTGAGAACATTGCTGTGTTCCTTGTTCACTGGATCTGGCATCTGGCTGTTTCCTAAAGTCAAAATGACCGTGAAAGGTAAATATTTTTAATTGAGTCAGGACATTGAAACAGCTACAGTCGTGCAACTTTAGTTGTGACACTCACAAAAAAGGACTTCTAAAACTGCTTTGGAAAGTGGCGTGAACGATGGGATAAGTGTGTTAGTGAGGGGGAGTATTTTGAGGTGGATGCATGGTGGTGTGTCTTACTGTAATAAATTTGTTTCTAAATTTGAACATGTATTTTTCGATCACATCTCATACAGCTATGTTTTAAATTAATATTATATATCTGAGGTTGTAAATGTTCTTCTTATCACTCATCTATTTCCTCTGAATGTTATAGGAAGGGAAAAGCTGCTTAAGAATGACCTTTAAACGCAAGTGAATTAAACAGGGCGTGGCAGTGCCTGCCTGTAGTCTCTCTCCAGGAGAAGCTGAGGTGGGAGGGTGGGAAGTTCAAGGCCAGCCTGGGCAATTCCGGAACACCCTTTCTCAGAATTTAAAAGGTAGGAGAAACAACGCAGCACTTCCTGGGTTCACTCCACAGTTTGGCAAAAAAGAAAGGAGAAAAGGAAAAAAAAGTAAATGAATTAATGAAACCTCCGTTAGTGCCTCCACAGAAGTGAGTAGAATAATGCAGGTTTTATAATATTGGTAAACCTACTATACACAAATCACATCTAATACAGTGGATGAAAGATGAGTTAAGCGCAACTCTTTTAAGCAATGCATTGCCATTAATTTGGGGTATGTTGGGAATTAAGCCTTTAAACAAAAAATAATACAAAATGGAGTAAAGTCAGAGTTCCATACAAAAGTCCCCCCAAAAGTACGTTGGTGGTTTTAAAAGAAGAAAGGTGTTGTCATATCTTAAAGAAACATTGGAGGACATAACTTGCTTTAAGTATTACACAGTGTACATGTGTCAAACGTTACATGGTACGCCATTAATACCTACTTTGTTTTCCTTCGCCTTTTTTTCCAGTGCTAGGGTTGAATCCAGGACCTTAAGGTGGGCAAGTACTCACCCACAGAGCTACATCCCTAGTCCTTATTTATTTATTTTATTTTGAGATAAAGTCTCACTGTGTTGCCCAGGCTGGCCTTGAACTTGCAATCCTTGTGCTTCAGCCACCCCAGTAATTGGGATTATAGGCATGTGCCACCAGCCATCCACAGCATTTATGTTTGTATGTACCTGTTTTTTTTAAAGTGATAATTTTACTAATTATAGAGAAAGCCAGAATTAGAAATAACATGTATGATGACCATCAGTGAATGGATAGGATTTTAACAGGTAAAGATATGGAGAGTATTTTGGACAAAGGCAATTTTCGGAAGAAGAAAACCATACAAAAATAGGAAAGCCTAGGGCATATGTACATATTTGGAAAACAGGATGTGTCTATGTGTGTGTAAGCTTAAAATGAGTATGAGAAAATAGTAGAATATAATGTTAAAGAGGCTGTTTGGTAGGCATTAGTGATATGTCTTTTTTTTGGTATCTCATAAACTGATTTACCAATGTCCTTTTTTAAAAAATTAACTTTATTGGTACAGTTTAGGTATACACAATGATTACATTCATCATAGGGAATTTGTACCTGTACATGATACATATCAGTTCATCTTTTCCATTCCTCTCCACGTTCTTCAACTCCTCTTCCCCTTATTTACAAAGCGTTGTTTCCATTTTATCCTTTTTTTTCTCATCTCCCCCCATTCTCTTTTCCTTTTTGAACAACTCTTATTTCACAATATCTCTTACACATTTTGGTTTTTACTTACTCTTGATTTCTCAGATCAGTGAGACAGTGCAGTAGTTGTACACGTTTGTCTGATTTATTTCACTTAAAAATATCAAGGTCCATCCATTTAGCTATAAATGTCTCAAATTTATCCTTTTTTATGGCTGAGTACTACTCCCTCCATTGTATTAAAGAATGAATCTTTGTTACCATTAGTCAGTTGATGTGCATTTGGGTTGTTACCGAGATTTAGCTATTACAAACTGTGCTGCCATAAACATGGGTGTGCATAAATTGCTGTGGTATGATACTTTTAATTCTTTTGGGAAGATACCAAGGGGAATAGCTGGATCAAATGGAACCTCTAGTCCTAGTTTTTTGAGGACTCTCCACACTGATTTCCAGTGTGGTCACACCAGTTTGCACTCCCACCAACAGTGGAGAATGGTTCCTTTTTCCCCACAGCCCTGCCAACGTTGGTTATTGGTTGATTTCGTGATAATAGCCATTCCTTCTGGAGGGAGATGGAATCTCAGCAGTGTTTTAGTTTGCATCTCTCAAGTAATCAGTGATGTGGAACATTTTTTCATATGTTTACCATTTGTACTTCTGAGAAGTGTCTGTTCATTTCACATGCCCATTTTTGGATTGGGTCTTTAAATTTGGGGAGGGGGCTCTGATATTTTTCAGTTCTTTATATATTGTAGATATTAATTGTTTGACGAACAACTGGCTAAGATTTTTTTTTCTCATTCTGTAGGTTGTCTTTTTACTCTGTTGGTGATTTCTTTGCCTATTGATACGGAAGGGAAAAGGAATAGGTCTCTTTTGGCTTGAATGGTAGCCACCAACTGCATACAGCTGTTGAACCCTTGAAATAGGACTAGTCCACATTAGAATATTCCTCATGTGCAAAATACACACTGGCTTTCCATGACCTAGTACAGAAAATATGTAAAACATCTTGCTGAAAATGTGTATATTGATTGCATGTTGAAGTAATTGTTTTAGATGTATTAGGTTAAATAAAATGTATTTTAGTTAGTTTTACCTGTTTCTTTGTATTTTCTAATTTGGCTACTAGAAAGCTTAGTATATGTGGCTTACATTTGTTACTTGGATTATATTTCTATTGCATTATAACACTGGTATATGTGGAAAAAACACAGCAGGATTTGCTAATACTCTGTAAGTGCCAGATTGTGTAGAACTTGTGTGGAAGTTAACCCTCATAAACCATATGAAGTAAGTAACTCCTTTTTCAAGTGGAGTAAGGGGTGTAGAGGTTAAGCAACATACCTAATCACAGTGCTGCTAAGCAGAAGCCAAGATTCACATTTAGGCCTCACTGACTTTAAAACCCCTGCTTTTCCCAACTCCTGTGGCATGTTATGGTTGGACGACTTGAGTCGGAGACTGTTGTGATTAGAGAAAGGCTGTAGCAGAATCATGAGATAAATTAGGGGAAGAGCCATTGTTTCAGATGTCTGGTTTTGTTTTGTTACTTTTCTTGGGGGGTCTCCTTGGTTAAAGTCACATTTTTAAGTAGATTGTTAACTAATTCTCAAAATATCTGCCTTATTGTCTCTAGGTTTGATAATGGGCTGTATTAAAAGTAAGGAGGACAAAAGCCCAGCCATTAAATACAGAACTGAAAACGCCCCAGAGCCGGTCAGTGCCAGTGTCAGCCATTATGGAGCAGAGCACACTGCGGTGACACCGTCGTCCTCAGTGAAGGGCACCTCAACGAACTTCAGCAGCCTCTCCATAACGCCATTTGGGGGATCCTCAGGGGTGACTCCTTTTGGGGGAGCGTCTTCTTCGTTCTCAGTGGTGCCAAGTTCATATCCTGCTAGTTTAACAGGTGAGAGCAAAGCTGGTAGAGAATGTAACCTTGGGCAACACATCTGTCTGCTATTAAGAAAAATATTTCATTGGCAGACTTTTCTAAAAATCCATGTAAAAATTAAAGTCTCTAATATCGCCAGGTGTGGTGGCACACGCCTGTAATCCTAGCACTTGGGAGGCTGAGGCAGAAGGATCATTAGTTCGAGACCAGCCTGGGCTACAAAGTGAGCTCAAGGCCAGCCTGAACTGCATAGGGAGACCCTGTCTCAAGACAAAAAAAAAGAAAGATTAAAAAAAAAAAAGTCTCTAACGTCAAAGTTAAAGTCTTAAGATAGACAGTTGCACTTTGGTACTTGATTGCTTTGAAACTTGTTGAATGTGGTACTCTATATTTTTGTGTAAAAAAATTGTGCCAGTAATGATTGTTTTTTGGGTACTTGACCCCAAGCTAGAACATGTCTGTGTTGACTGCGCATTATTCTTTTAAGCTAGAACAGTTTGTTTGGTACTGATCTTTTTTGGTGTTTCTTATGCTACCCAGAACCAGTTAACAATTTGGTGATAATCTGATGGTGGTTTTATACCACTGTATATACACTATTATTTTATTAACTTGTTATTCAAGTAATTGTAGAACACCTGTTATATAGCAGGCATTGGGACTATAAAGATTAAAAACATACATTCCTCCTTGAAGAATCTTATAATTTCGCAGTATTATAAAGTGCTATGCAATATTAAAATATCACAGTAGTGACTTAATATATGACAGTGTAGTAATAATGATACAGTGTTTCTGTCGGATACTATTTATTCTATATTTTATTTTATTTTGTTTTGTTTTGAGACTCACTATGTAGTGCAAGTTGGCCTTGAACTCACTTATATAGCCTAGGCTGCTAGCTCATGGCACTCCTCCTGCCTCAGCCTCCCGCATGCTGGGATTACAGGTGTGCGCCATGATGTTTGGCAGATGCTACTATTTTTAAAGAGATTCTGAGCTGTAGAAAATTTAAATGATTCTTTTTCCAGAGTTACAGATAGTAAGCAGGAGAGCTCAGATTTGTTCTGTTCTAGAACTTCTCTTATTACATTATCATGTCTTTTCAGAGACTAGTAGGAAGTGATAGTTGACAATCTTCCATGGAGACAGAATAATCCAAAAAAGTAGATTAAAAAACTTTACAAAGAGTAAAAATGAACTCTTTTTGTCAAAGGTTCCCTGTCAGGATGCTTTGTCCTTGAAGTAGCAAAACACAGCTGGCTTTAAAAAGAAGAATGAGCTCCAGGGTTCCTGATGAGAGAGTTCTGTGATGTCAGTAAGGATTCCTGTTTCTTTCATCTCGCTCCTGCAGCTTGTCCGCTTCGTCCTCTGGGATTAACAGCTGCTGGTCTCTAGTGGAGTGACTTATGTCCTTATAACCAGCCAAGGGGGGGGTCTGTAAATTTGTCTTCTTGGCCTGCTCACCTCTGGACCACTAACAGTGGCCAGAGGACTGCCTGACATACGCTGCTCTATTAAAGAGCATTTGGGGAGCTATGGACATGAGTCAGCCCAATTCCAGTTCTGTCTTCCTGACTCTAAATATATTAAGAATCGATGACCACGATACTATTTCTCAGTCATTAGCAAAAGTTCAAATTATTTTTAGGATTACATGTTTGGGAAAGGTAGTAATTCAGAGTGTTTAAAATAAATGTTGATACTTCAAAAGACAGACTTTAAAGCAGTTTACTTACATGAAATAGTCCATTTACTTACATGAAATTCTCAGATGTTCATTTACTAACCCGGCAGAAATGGAATGTCGGTGTGCCCAGCTATAAAGAGGTAAGCATGACAAACAAGGCTTCTGCCTAGATGGAGTTTACGTTATGAAGAGGGCTGGGCAGTAGCCTGCCATTGAGCAGCTAAGCAGGGTGATGGGAGGTTCTCACAAACATGATTGGTGCAGAGGGCTCTGTAGCTGAACAGGGAAAGGCACCTCAAGAAGAAGTCATTTGAACTGATAGTTGATTGATGAGAATGATCTGAAGTCATCCTAGGGGAAGAGTTTCCAAGGGAGAAGGAATAACAAACACAAGCTCCAGGAGGTAGAAGCTGTGATTTGGTCCTGTCCAGTTTGTACACCTGTGTCATGTCTTCCCCTGCCCCACTGCACGCAACAGTGCGTGCTAGGCATGTGCACCACACTGAAGTACATCACCAGCCCTTTTTTAAAATTTATTTTGAGACAGGCTGTCACTTAGTTGCCCAGTTGGCCTCAAATTTCTAGTCCTCCTGCCTCAGCGTCCCAGCCTGGAGTGACAGCCATGTGCCAGCATTCCATTTGGGGTTGGCATTTAAAAAAATAAAAAGCCATGTTGTGGTGGCTCAGTCCTGTAATCCCAGCACTCAAGGATGAGGCAGGATTGCTGTGAGTTTGAGGTCAGCCTGGGCTATATAATGGTTCAAGGCTGGCCTGAACTACATAGCAAAACCCTGTCTCAAAAGCAAACAAACAAACAAACATACCAAGCCTAAAAAAAAAAAAAAAAAGAACACCCCCCCGCCTCCCGGCAGGTCTATGGAGAGTAGATGGTAGTGAAGCAGTGTAGAACCAGGTTAGGAGACTAGTACTCCAAATGTTCCCAGCAGTCCAGTGAGACAGGACCTGCGACGGGGTTAGGACCACAGCACTGAAGATAGAAAGCCAGTAAATGCGTGTAAAACTGAGTGCTGCGGGATTTGACTTGAAGACCTGACTGGAGAGTGGTCAGAAATGATTGCTTAGAAATAAGTTAGGTCGGGGCTGGGGATTTAGCTCAGTGGCACAGCGCCTGCCTAGCAAGCACGAGGTCATGAGTTCGTGTGTTGGTTTGGGGCTTATTTTGCAAGGGGAACAACATAATACAGGACACATACTTTATATGATTATTTATAAGTCACCCAAGAACAGTATACAAAAGAGTGCAGGAAATCTGTCCACACACTAAGACCAAGGAATCCAGCTGAGGGCCTGGGTCCCACAACAATGTCCTACATGAGTTGAGCTGAACACCCAGAGCTCATAACAATGCCTCCCACGAATCCAACTGGAGGCCCAGAGCCCGTGACAACATTTCATGCAGACCTGTTTCACGGATCTGCTGGGAAGGCCCAAAGGTCAGTGGTGGAATCTACAAAGTCTGTGCCAGCAGGAAGAAGAATCTGTGCTAGCAGGCTGAGGGATCTGCACTGGAGCCAGGAAGTGATGCTCAGAAGAACCAGAGCTCCCCCAAAAGGTACCACGGCCATCCTCGCAACAGTGAGGTCCCGAGCTCCTCTGATGATCAGGATGGCCGAGTTCCCATCAGGGAAGCCAACGCAGCAAGCTTTTCCAGGAGGCGGGCAGTGCACCATCTTCCCCTCTGGAACCAGGAAGCGATGCTCAAGTGAGGACCAGAACTCCCCAAAGTGAACCAAAGCCATTCTCAGTGCCAGCGAGGTCCCGAGCTTCTTGGAGGATGAAAACAGCCAAGTTCATTGGAAAGCCAGCTCCCCACAGCCTCTCTCAACTCCCAACAGCCTCTCTCAACTCCCAACAGCCTCTCTCGGCTCCCAACAGCCTTTCTTCACTTCTCCAGGTCTGCCTCTTATGCTGCTGGCAACAGTCCTCAGGTGGGCCTCCCACACCCAGCACCACTGAATCACTTCAGCTGGGGGTTATAAGTTGACCACCAGTTATCAATCCACTACAGTTTGATTCCCGGTACCAGAAAAAAAACAAAAAAAAGAAATGAGTTAGGTAAATACAGGTTAGAAGAGAAAAACGACGAACCTCATTTTGTACACAATAAATCTAAATGCAAATTAGATACTCATGTAGAGATGTCAGAGAGGCAAGACAGCTGATAAAGGACTAAAACTCAGAAGTGAAGTCAAATGAGCAAGTGAATGTGTATGATTGTACCTTTGGCTTGCTGTTGCTTTGGAGGCAGCAGGTTTCATCCTACTTTCTACATTGTGTTTGTACTTAACTAGTTTTACTACCTGACTTTTTCCTACTGTTCCTTAAAAGTGTTGGTGGATGTAAGTAAACTAGTAATTTATCTGGCAAGTCATTGGAACTATATTGAGTAGACTGTGTACATATTCAAATTAAGACTATGTTGGTCAGAGCTGGCCGTGTGCTCAGCAGTGAATGCTTGTCTAGCATACATGAGACTCTAGGTTTGATCCCTCGCAGCGTACTGATCAAAAAGTAAAAAAATTGGTCAAAAGTTTATAGAATTTCAGTTGGGAAGAATTAAGTTCAAAAGATCTATTGTAAAACCTAGTGACTGTAGTTAATAACAATGTACTGTATTCTTTTTTTTTTTTTTTGTATTCTTAAAAGTCACTAAGGTAGTAAAGTTTGTTTCCTCACCACAAAAAAATAAGGCAGTAAGTATGTTAACTAGCTTGATTTAGCCATTGCATAATGTATACATGTTTTAAAAGATTGTGCTGTATATGATAGTGGTTTTTTTTTTAAAAAAAAGTAATGTATTACAAGTTTTTTAACCAGAACATTTGCCTTGAATAATTTTAAACACTAAAATGTCGTGCATTGCATGCATCTATCTGGTATTTCTTTCAGTTGCACAGAATAGTTTGGTTGTTCAGTGTGTTTGTCCCTTAAGCTTCTGTATATATTGCTAAATATGACAGTGATTTTTGAGAAATACACTGATTCATACCAGCCATACCATTTAATTTGAAGACAGATTTTTAAATTTTTAATACATAATAAATTTACTAAAGCCCTAGCAACCTGTTAGTAACAGAAATGCGCCCATTATTTGCAAGACTTTGGGAGGATCAGTGCCGCTACAGAGCTTGTTAGTCCTCTTCCAAAGAACTGATTTGAAATTTTACTTTTTAAGGCAGAGATGTTGCTTCCAAAGTCAAAATTTTTAAATTTATTTTTCAGAGTCAGTAGCATTTTAGAATTTTTACAGTACAGTGGTTTCCTGGAAGGGCTTAAGAGAGATCTTAGTGACCCAGAATGGCAGAAGCAATCCTGGGTAACAAAAGCAAAGCAAGAGCCTTCGCAGTCTTGGATTTGAAGTTGTATTACAAAGCTGTAGAAGAGCATGGTACTGGCACAGAAACAGACATGTGAGTCAGTGGGATAGAACGGAGGAAGTAGACATAACCCAAGCACATTCGGCTATATGAACTTTGACAAAGGGCCCAAAAAGCATAGACTGGAGGAAAGACAGCCACTTTAGTAAATGGTACTGGGAAACGGGCTGTCCACATGCAGAAGGTTGAATCTAGACCTGAATTTTCACCATGTACTAAATTAAAGTAAAAATGGATCAAAGATCTAAATATTAAAACAGGAACACATAATCTGCTGGAAGATAAAATAGGTAAAACTCTTGAAGACACAGATGTGGGCAAGGACTTTCTGAACAGAATCTTGGTTGTGCAGAAAAATACTGAGAATCAACGAAGTGGTTCACATCAAATTTAAAAGCTTTTGTGTGGTGAGAGAAACAACCAACAGAGTAAAGAGACAACCCACGGAATGGGGAAAAAATTTTGCCATCTCTTAGAGGACTAATATCTAGACTATATAAAGAACTAAAAAAAAAAAGACCTCAAAATAAAAGAACCAATCAAAAAGTGGGGAAGTGAGATGAATAGACATTTGGAAGTACAAATGGCCAGTAAATACACAAAGAAATGTTCAAGCCAGGCGTGATGACATATGCCTGTATTCTCAATACTTGGAAGGCTGGGGCAGGAGGATTGCCATAAGTTCAAAACCAGCCTGGGCTGCACAGGGAGTTAAAGGCTGGCCTGAACTATATAGTGAGACTCTGTCTCAGGAAAAAAAAAAACAAGTTCAGCATCACTGGCCATTAGAGAAATGCAAATTAGAGCACTGAGATTCCATCTGTTCCCAGAAAGAATGCCTATCAAGAGACAAATGGAGAAGCTGGGCATGGTGGTACATGCCTGTAATCCCAGCACTGGAGGCTGAGACAGGAGAATTGTCGAAAGTTTGAGGCCAACCTGGGTTATAAAGTGAGTTCAAGGCCAACCTGAACAGCACAGTGAAACCCTGTGTCAAAAAAGACAAAAAAAAAGAAAAGGAAACAAATGCTGCCAAGTCTGTGGGAGGCTGGAAAAAAAGAACCTTTCTACACTGTTTCTGGTTTTTTTTTGTTTGTCTTTTTGAGACAGGGTCTCGCTATGCAGTTCAGGCTGGCCTTGAGCTCACTTTGTAACCCAGGCAGGTCTCGAACTCACACCGATCCTCCTGCCTCAGCCTCCCGAGTGCTGGGATTACAGGCGTGTGCCACCATGCCTGGCCCTTTCTACGTTGTTGATGGGAACATAAACTAGTACAGCCACTATGGAGGGAAGTACGGAGATTCCTGAAAAAACTAAAAATAGAAATTCCGTTTCACTCAGCTATTCCCCCTCTAGATATCTTCCCTGAAGAGTTAAAGATACCATACCACAGTGATATATGTATACCCATGTTTATAATAGCACAACTCATAATAGCTAAATCTTTGAAGCGGCTTATCTGTCCATCAGCAGATGAAAGGATAAAGACAAGGTGGTATTTACCTTCAATGGAGTACTACTCTGCCATGAAGAAGGATGAACATGAGTCATTTATAGGAAAGTGAATGCACCTCAAGACCATAATGTTGAGTGAAATAAATCAGACACATAAACTTAAATATTCCATGGTTTCTCATATGAGAAACCCATACTATAAATAAAGAGCAAAATATAAGATAGATAGTAGGAAGTAGGGAGATCGATCTTTGTCAAATGAGGAAGGGAGTGGGGGGAAGGGGAGGAGAAAAACTGAGGATGTATTATGTACATGGACCAATTCTCCACAAAGTTTGTAATCATTATATAGTGCAGGCATAAACGAGCGAGAGAATGAATATCTTATTAACCCAAACTCCAGCTGCCCAAAGCTCCAACCTATAACAATAGATGCTGAAGAGTAGACAGCTGTAAGCTTTTTTACTGGTAGCAATACTTTATTTCTTTTTATATATTATCTAGGTAACTTACCTTGGTGTGTTTTTCTTTTGCTAGGTGGTGTTACTATATTTGTGGCCTTATATGATTATGAAGCTAGAACTACAGAAGACCTTTCATTTAAGAAGGGTGAAAGATTTCAAATCATTAACAATACGTAAGTATTGCATTTTGTGAGAGAGAAGTACAGAAATCTTTTTGCATTGTAAACCACTGAGTTAATTGATGATGCAGAGATGAGAGTCGTGGGGCTTGGGTCTCTGTCCCCGGGGTTGGACGGTTCATTGGGCTTCCTGAGACGACTGCTAAAGGCAGAACTTACCACTTGCACAAATTGTGCTGCCATGGTTTGACCATGAAGAGTGGCGACAGAAGAATGAAGATTTAGTTGGCAGGGTATATGCAACATCCGATGAAGAGAATTCTGTGTTCATGTGTGAGTACCAGTTGATTGATTGATTGATTTTTACTTAAAGAGAGAACCAGGTGATTTAAAGATCTTTCACCAGCCAAGCAGGCTGGTGCACACCTGTAATTCCAGCACTCTGGGAGACTGAGTGGATTACAAGTTTGAGCCCAGCCCGGGCAACTTGGAAACCATAACTTAAAATAAGAATAAAAAGGACCTGGGGGTGTAGCCCAGTGCCAAATCCCTGGGTTTGAGCCCCATGACTGAAAATAAACATTTCCTTTCACCTAAAAAAAAGAGAGAGATAAGGTTGAGTAAGGAGCCCTTGTACTCCTGAACTGACCACATTTAGTTGCCTGTTCTTATGTGACTGTTACACTTTCTGTTATTTACTGGCTTACCGTAGAAAATGTGATGTTTGTTTTGTTTCGTTTTTCCTCCGGTACCAGGAATCGAACTAAAGACCTTGTGCTTGTTAGGCAGGTGCTGTGCTGCTGAGCTAAATCCCCAACCCCAAATGTGATGTTTGTTACAGGAAAAATATCCCATAATTTCATTAGCAAGCATAACAGCCACTTTGTAACTTTTAGCATATGTAGTGTGGGCGCTTTGCTTCCAGGCGTGTCTCCTCTGTCCTGTTCCCATCTGTTCGGGTCAGCGCCCCCGGACGTACAATATGATTGTGTCTCTCTGCTTTGAAACCCTTTAGTAGCTACCAGTTGCCGTCACGATAAAAGAAGAACAGCAGTAATAGTCATAATTCACTGAGAATTTACTACCTGCTTCTTACTCAGTCACCTGACCATACTGAGGTGCTTGCAGTTTTCTTGGCCCACTGGAGTTTTTCACCCTCTCTGTACCTTCATACACATTATTTCCTTTTTTTCTATCTTGTGTCTCCCCTTCTTTTTCTGTGTAGGGGATCAAACCCAGGGCCTCATGCATGCTAGGCAAGTGCTCAACCCCAAACCCCACTCCCAGCCCTCCTTTCTTTACCTCCCAGCCCTCCTCGTCCTCAGAATACAGTGCAGTGTGCTCCCTCAGTGACGCTTTCCCTTGCGTTCCTCCCTTGCCTGGCTCGGTGCCGGTACCCTGCTACAGTGTTTCTCTAGGAGTTCACATAACGCACTGTGCACAGGTCAGTCACACGCTCATCAAAGTTCTATAACTTGTTGCTTGGCTTGATGGATTGAGTGTAGTAGTAAGGGTTGTAATTTGTCATTTGTCTTGTCATTATTTTATTTATCTGTTTATTTATTTATTGCAGTACTGGGGATTAAACCCATTGCTTTTACAGTGAGCTATATGCCATGCCCTTTATTTTTTGTGTTGAGACAGGGTCCTGCTAAATTGCTGGGGTTAGGCCTGAACTTGCAGTCTTCCTGCCTCAGCCTCCCAGAGTGCTGGGATTACATGCATGCACCATCATACTCTGCTTTGTCATTCTTTTGGACCAGTGGGTGTCAGCCTGGGACACAGTCATCTGGGAGATGTTTACGGGTTGCATGCAGAGGTGCTTTGGGTTGTCAGTCAGGGTGTAGTATTGTCACCTAGTGGGTAGAAGCCAAGGATCTTGGTATGCATCCTACTAGCCACATGACAAAGGTTTACTGAGCCCGGACTGTCAGTGCTCCGGAGCTTGCAAAGCCCGTCTCTACACTATGAAGTAGGGACATCTTTTTACCTCTGTTTTCAGCACACCCTCCTGTAAATTCTGTCACTTGCCAGGCTTTCAGTTTAGATGAGTCAGTGGATGTTTAGTAGAACCAAATACTATATCTTCTGTTTGTATATCTGAAATACTTAACACATACTGGGAAAGCACAACCCAATATATTAGCTTGTGAATTGTCAGAGGATTTCCTATTTCACTTTTAAAGAGGAGATTACAAAATTTCTATTTAGATAATATATTTAATCTTAAGTACTGAATTCTATGTACATACATCTTTATTAGAGATTACAGATATTTGTGCTTTTTACATCACCTTTGGAAAAGTCAAGGCTTATATATTACAAATCACATGTAGTTCTCATGTTTTGAATTTTAGTCTTACTGAGATGTTTTTGGTTATCATTTTTATAAATATGCGTTACTCTAAAAATTCAAATTTTGTTATTGTTTGACTATAGGAGTATTAGTATATCATGTTTTTTCCTTGAAACAACTAAAAAAATTACAGATTTATGTATTGTTAAAAAGAAAGGCATTTGGCAACAAAAAGAATGAACTACTGATGTATGCAACAACATAGATGAACCCTGAAAAAATAATGCTAAGTGAAAGAAACTGTCACAGAAGGCCACGTGATGGTTCTGTTCATGTGAAATGCACACTCCAGGCGTACCCACGCAGACAGCAAATGGTGGGGGCCAGGTTGGGGTGACTGCCGATGGGCAGAGGGCTTCTTTTAGGGGTGATGAGAATATTCTAAAAGTTACTGTCATGGCTGTACAACTACGAATGCACTGCTGTATTGCATACCTTAAGTGGAGTTCTGTGATAATTATATCAAGCTGTTAAAAATGCAGTCAAAACTGAATAATTTGAAGGTTTTAGCTCTCAGATTATTCACTATAGTTTTCTTAGGTTCAGTTTGTTTCCTTGACAGAAAGAATTACATAAAAATGATGTTATAACTAAAATTCTACTGTGTGGCCTTGGGGGTTTGTGGTGTTTCACGAAGTGTGCAGGTGTGCTTTTGCTTCCTATAAAATTTTGTTTTGAAATGTTACTCTTTTGAGTTTAATTCTTGATCAAGTGCAGAAGTAAAAGTGGAAGTAGTATCTCCTGTTAGCTTTAGACAAGCAGGCTGTAGGACGCTCTGGGCCGCGGGCATGCTGCGCTTGTGCTGACGGTCGCTCTGTGTTGCAGGGAAGGAGACTGGTGGGAAGCGCGCTCAATCGCCACAGGAAAGAACGGTTACATCCCCAGCAATTACGTGGCGCCTGCAGACTCCATTCAGGCCGAAGAGTATGCCAACACTTCCTGTTTTATTAATTCTTTTGGCTTTAGAAATGTTTTAATGCACATTCCGCTCAGCCACAACTTTACACGCGCACAATTACCAGTCTTAATACAACTAATGTGTCACCTTAATAGATGTTACTTGAGAATTAATAATTAATGTAACAGTGTCCACTTCAAGCAGTATCATAAGTGAGTCTACATTAATCATTGTGTTATGCCTGGTCTTTCTGTTCCATCTTTCCTTCCATTTTAAAAAATCATATTAACCCTTTTCATATTTTGCAAACTCTTACTTTGAAAATTTACCTCACTGAGACCTTGGGTCAATCCTTGCGACCTGTTTCTGTAGGAGTGTGTCCTTGTCTTGTGGAAAGCACAGGTTGAGGTCTTCAGGGTCATGACTGAGAGTGTTGACAGCTTGTAGTTGTAGGAAGAAACACACACATCCGTGTGTATGTGTACAACACAAACGGGAAGGGGAGAAAGTACGCCGAAGCAAAATGCTAGCTAGAGCCTGGTTGCAGAGGATATGGCTCTGTGGGCTGTTCTTGCAGCTTTTAGAGAGTTAAAGATCACTGCTAGCAACATTCATTTTAGGTACAATTAATTAGTTACTCTAACAATACAGTACTTGTTGACTTTTATTAAGAATATATAATTTGTCTGAATAACTTTTCTATCAGGACATTTGTTACTGTTCGTTTTGTTCTTTCATTGTCTTCCCCAGTGTTCTGTGAACTCTTTCCCAGAAGAGACTCATTTGTATTCACTAGGCTTTATTGAGTCAAAGCCCTGCAGATTTAGAGTTCCTCATAGTGTGGGTTGATACACTTGTATCTTACTGAACATAGGGGATCACGCTGTTACCAAAGAACCGCCTCTGCTCTTGTTACTATAGTTTTAATGTTTCCTTCTGTCCTTGACAGAAAGCATCCATTATTTGCTGTCTTTCCTTCTCCATTGCTGTTCTGTGACTCAGAATAGTGCGAGAGACCCACCGAGTAGTCAGGACATGGAAATGCTTCAGAGCATATTCCAACAGGGGTTGTAAGGCTCCCTTTTAACAAGTAAGAATTTATGTCCTACTAAACTTGAAGCCACATGCTTTAACTGTTCTTTCTCGAACTCGTACCCCACTCCATTTTTACTGATACTCCAGTGGTCTCTTGACTCAGGCCTTCACAGTTCAAAACACCATTAATTTTTTCCAGATGGTATTTTGGCAAAATGGGGAGAAAAGATGCTGAACGATTGCTTCTGAATCCTGGGAATCAACAAGGCATATTCTTAGTAAGAGAAAGTGAAACCACTAAAGGTATGACTGTTAATATAGTAATACATGTATAAAATTTCCTCGGGCAGTATTTTGAGAAAGGTGGAGTGAAAGTGTTTCATTCCCCCCAGGTGCTTACTCCCTCTCTATTCGTGATTGGGATGAAGTAAGGGGCGACAATGTGAAGCACTACAAAATTAGGAAACTTGACAACGGTGGATACTACATCACAACCAGAGCACAATTTGATACGCTGCAGAAATTGGTGAAACACTACACAGGTAGGTAAATATTTCCAAGATAAAGTTACTTTCTCTATTTTGTGAGGACAAAAATCTGTGTCTTTAATATGTGCCCAACAACTGTGTGTAGGTATTTTTTGTTTGGTTAGGCTTGGTTTGATGTGGGATCTCACTGTGTGCAGGTTAGGCTGGCCTCAAACTCTTGTCTCAGCCTCCCAAGTGCTGGGATTATTGGTGTGTGACACCACACCTGGTCTGTAGTTGTAAAATCAGGGGCAGACTTAATAGTATGTGAATTGAGTTCTTGGGTAGTGTGCTAAACTCAGTCATTAGAGTCCTTATGGCTTACTCGCATAGTGTTTACATTGGAGTTCCATCTCATGCCATATAAACACAGAATGTGAAAGTGAATTTAAAAATGGAAGAGTAAGTTTTTACTGACGGATACTTACTAAGTAGGTAAAACTAAGCATTTAACATTAAAAAGCTTCATGAGAAGTCCACTTAAATAATCTTCCCTTACAAATGCTGGATCTCATAAGATTTCCTAAAGTGTAAACCCAGTGGAAAAACAAACCAATAAACCAAAAAGCCAAGTGTGATGGTGCACACCTGTAATCTCAGCACTCAGGAGGCTGAGGCAGAAGATTACCCGGAGCTCAAGGTGAGCCTGGACTATGTCGTGAGTTCAAGGCCAGCCTGAACTTCATAGTGAGACCCTGTCTCCAAAAACCAAACCAAAATAATAAACCAAATGGAATTTGGTTTGAAGATACATTTTGTTGTCCTTCAGAATTCAAGGGTACAACTATAGCAAGTATAGCTATTCTTATCTTTCAAGGACTTTTGAAAAAAACTTCAATGTTAGAGTCTTATATCTCAAAATGATATATAAATACATCTGTAGAAAGTCTTTAAATGATTAGTATTAGAGGGGAGCAAGTTTTCATGGTGCTTTCATCTTCACTAACAGCTGCAGTCAGCCAGCGGTCTTGACATTAAAGCCGCATGTTCCGAGCGGGGCCTCTTTATCGTTGCCCCTGTTAGGGTATGCGTCTGTTGGTGGCTTGATGGGAATGGGAGGGCACGCGTCTGCCAGCGCCGCGCAGGTCAGGCCATTGCGAATCTTGGGCTCCCTCCCTGTCTCTCCTGTATTTAAAGTCCCTCCCCTAAATGATGAATGTCTGCCTTGATTTTTAGTATCTTTCAAATTAGTGGTTAATATTAGAAATAACAGAGCATTTCCTTAAGAATAAATAATTCTCAGTGTGCAACAGAGAATTTTGCACACTAGCTGACTTGAGCCTCAATCCTGTCGCTGTTTGTATGAGATACTTGTAAAGTGCTAAATTAATCCAGTAGCTGAAACATAAGTGTTCAATACATAGTAACATCAAAATGTTTTGCTTTTTTGTATGTATATGGTACGAGGGATTGATTGAACCCAGGGCCTTCACACTGAGATGCATCCCTAGCGCTTTTTTTTATTTTTGAGACTGTGTCTCAGTAAGTTGTCTAGGCTGGACTTGAATTTGTGATCTTCCTGCCTTAGCTTCCCAGAGCACTGGGATTATACATGTGTGCCACCACACCTGGCTCTTATTATGTCTACTGTTTTGTTTTCTTCTGATAGACAATTCTGTTTTTGTGTTTTGTTCTTTCTTTGAGGCAAGGTCTTGTTATATAGTTCATGCTGCCTTAAACTCACTGTGTATTATGTAGTCCAGGCTGATCTCAAATTCAAGACCATCCTCATGCCTCAGCCTCCCCAGTGCTGGGATTATAAGCATGCACCACCACACCTGGCTATATTTATATTTTTGCAGTAAAATTGGTAGGACATTGTGTTTTTGTTTTTCTGTAACTTAAAAAGGCTTTAAAAACAATGTATTGTATATGTATTCTAATTTTTGTGAGGAATTTATCTTACAATATAATTTATTCATTCAACTAGAACATGCTGATGGTTTATGCCACAAGTTAACAACTGTGTGTCCAACTGTGAAACCCCAGACTCAAGGTCTAGCAAAAGATGCTTGGGAAATCCCTCGGGAGTCTTTGCGACTAGAGGTTAAACTAGGACAAGGATGCTTCGGTGAAGTATGGATGGGTAAGAAACGTGAACTTGCTGGAGGAAGAACGTGGTTTCTTTTGTCCATAGATTAAAGTGCCACAACTTATGATAAACTATGTTTAAGTATTTAACTGCTGTTCACTGAAGTTTAATTTAAAAATCTCATAATATAGATTGAAATTATTTGTCTCTCAAGGAACATGGAATGGAACCACAAAAGTAGCAATCAAAACACTAAAGCCAGGGACAATGATGCCAGAAGCTTTTCTTCAAGAAGCGCAGATAATGAAAAAACTAAGACATGATAAACTTGTTCCACTCTACGCTGTTGTTTCCGAAGAGCCCATTTACATCGTCACTGAGTTTATGTCAAAAGGTATGCATGTGTGAGCATCTCTTAGGGTGCTCATGTTGGGAAGTTGTGTAAAAATCAGATCTCCCTTTCAGTTTTTCTGACTGTAGATTTTTACTGCATAGTGCTTTCTAAGTCAAGACTTTAGTCGACATTTGAAAAGAGGACATGTGACACTGAGAGGGTGGTGATGGGCTCCAGGTATTCCTGCGTCTGTTATGATGGTTAAAAGTCAAAGTAGGCAGGCTGAATTATATTTCCTACTCTAAGGGAAATGGAATAGCCAGACATGTTGAAAAACTAAACCAGAAAGTATACATATTGAATTGAAATGATAAAACCACAAAGATACTTACATCGTCAGTACCAAAGTAAAGAAGTAAAGTAAAGGGAATTAGTTTTATCTCATTTTACTGTAAGCCCAGTCCCTATGCTCAGGACTCTTAGAAACTTCTTTTTTCCACTCTTGCATTTTCCCAAACCCAGACTGCTGGGTGGGATCTTCAGCGACAGAGTTAAAGGCCAGGATTAAAGAAAGGGAAGACTGATGCTCTTCCCTCCATCCCTAGGCTGGTGATACTTCACAAGAGGAACTAGTAAGTCAGAATATATACTCACTGGCCCAATGTAACCTATTTTGAATTGAGTGTTTTTTAATTTACTATTTTACTTGGTTGAATCAGACTGAAGTCACAGGTTATGTCACTCTCTCTGTTGGTCTACCTTGACCAGTGACATAGTTTCATCTAGTTGTGGCAGGTAGTTACAAACTACATATTAAGTAGAAAAAAAAGTTTTCTCTGAAAAAGAACTAGAACTAAGTGATGTAGTCTGTTCATTGAAGCCAAAATCACAAGTACCAGAGTGCATGGCAGTCTTTGCAAGGAGCTTCTACTGCAGACTTGCCGAGGTGTGTCAGAGTTTCGGTTGAGTGTAGCCTGCCTCTTTATTAGTGTCATCTCCTAGACTATGCTTGTTGCTGTCAGATGGCCGAGTGTGCCATTTCAGAGAGTGTTTTGAACGAACTGGGGCAATAAAGGAGAGAGGGACAGGGAAGAAGTTTAAGTCAAGATACTAGTAGCGGGAGAGATATAATGGAGGCAGGGCATACCTGTAACCCCAGGTTCTTGGGAAGCTGAGGCAGGAAGATTGCAAGTTCAAGGCCTCCCACGGCAACTTAGTAAAAGCCTGTCTCAATAAAAAGCATGCTGGGCACAGTGGCACATGCCTGTAATCCTAGCACTCAGGAGGGTGAGGCAGGAGTATTGCCGTCAGTTCAAGGAGAGCTTGGACTATGTAGCGAAACCCCTGTCTCGACAATAAATAAAAACAAAAAGCATTAAAAGTGCTATAGCTCAACACTTCTCTGGGTTCAATCCCTAGTACCATATCAAAAAAGTAAGGATCACTTAATTGGGAGACATGGTCAGATTCTATGTTGGGAGATCATTGGATTGGGATTATTTTCAGGTAGAGAGCTAGAATACAATATAAAAGTTTTTCTAGGTTTTTTTTTTTTTGAGACAGGGTTTTGCTACGCAGTTCAGGCCGGCTTTGAACTCACTTTGTAGCCCAGGCTGGTCTCGAACTCGCAACAATCCTCCTTCCTCAGCCTCCCGAGTGCTGGGATTACAGGCGTGCGCCATCCTCTTCTTCAATATGTTGTCAAGAGAAGTTTCCAAATTTTCAGTTTAAGGATCTCTTGTAGAATAGATAAGATAATTATTCAGAAATTTCAGCACTGCGAAGAGAAATTTACAAATGAAAAGCTGAGAAATTTTGTATCACGATAGGGTGGTTTGTTTTGAAGTTAAGAGTATTTGAGTTTTAATGCAGAATTTGCTCACTTTCTATGAATATGACGTTGTCTCTTACAGGGAGCTTACTAGATTTCCTTAAGGAAGGCGATGGAAAGTATTTGAAGCTTCCACAGCTGGTCGATATGGCTGCTCAGGTATGTGCACGTACATGTATCAGTCAGTTTGGATTGAAAGTATACATTTAAAATGTAGAATAATCGGGCCAGGGATACAGCTCAGCGGCACAGCGCCAGCCTGGCAAGTGCAAGGTTCTGAGTTTGATTCCCAGTACCATAAAATAAAATAAAATGAAATAAAAACTTCTTAGCAGAATATTATATTTTACATAGTGAAATAATGAAATTTTAGAACAGGGAGGAACATTGTAAGTAATCCAGTGTGAACTACTAATGTTACAGATAATGTAGTATCTAAAGATCTGAAATACCTAGAATTCGCATCACTTGCAGTAGCAGGGCCAGTATTGGAACTAGCTGTAGAACTCAGTCCAGTCCCTCCAAGCTGTAGTTCACCATCTTCCACTTGTGGCCAGTACTGTTATCACCAGGTCATCTTAGATTGTTCCTGATTTGGAGCTTGTCAGGCTTGTGTCCAGAGGTTCGAAATAACCATGTGACTTACCTCTTCCTCTAACCACTGAAGCAAGAAGACTTTAGGACATTACATTACATTGCTAACTGTGACTGGATATACGGGTAGGCTGAAAAGCTTGGCCCTCAAAGTCTATGCCAAGGGTTTTTTGTATGTGATGCAGGAGGTGTGTCAGATTTTTGGTTGAGTGTAGCCTGCTTCTTTATTAGTGTCATCTCCTAGACTATGCTGGTTGCTGTCATCTTCTTCTGAAGGGTCTCATGGCTTCTCCCTGCTTCTTTTGTAACATTTTGTTTTCCTTTCCAAGATTGCTGATGGTATGGCATATATTGAAAGAATGAACTACATCCACCGAGATCTTCGGGCTGCTAATATTCTTGTAGGAGAAAATCTTGTGTGCAAAATAGCGGATTTTGGTTTAGCAAGATTAATTGAAGACAATGAATACACTGCGAGACAAGGTAAAATTACTTCTATATAAATGTTTGTAATGTCCTGTTTTTCTTAACACTTTTGAAAATACAGGTTTGTATAAAATAAGAATAGTTCTCAAAGGAGTCATAGAAACACTGATTTTATTACGTAGAACTGTAAAATACATGCTATGACTATGTGACTTTCTTAGTTACTTCCTGTGAAGAAAAACTTGACTAGGTACTCTCTGAGAAATCACAGCAAGTAATAACCTCTTCATGCTCGATCAGTTCTTGAACTGTTGCCTTAGAGGCTGTCAATAAAGACAGTATCTTCCTTACACCCAGAGACATCTGACAGTGTCTAGAGGCATTTTTGATTATCACAAAGCAAGGGCTACTACTGGCACCTCCTGGGTTGAGGCCAGGGATACTGCTAAATGTCCTACAGTGGCCAGCGAGACCCAACCACCACCACCACGAAAAATTATCAGGCCCCAAATGGTCAGTTTTGGCAACTTGAGAAACCCGGATTTAACCATTTGACCTCTGTACCACCATGCGGTTACCTCCAGTTGAAATATCGGCATCTTCTGTGATCCTTACTTACAAATTCTTAACCATTCATTTAAGGCTTAGTTTAGCTGCCACTCTTGGAATGAACTCCTTTGTGATCGTGCCAGTGAAAACTCATCTTCTGTTTGTTGAAGCAGCTAATGTGCGCTCTACTTTTTTTTTTTTTTTTTTTTTTTTTTGTTTTTTTTCCGGTACCGGGAACTGAACCCACGACCTTGCGCTTGCCAGGCAGGCGCTTTGCCGCTGAGCTAAATCCCCAGCCCCATGTGTGCTCTACTTTATAGCACAATACACTTATTTATAATGTAGATAACTTCAAAGATATAAGGCGCCTATAATCTTGGTAACATAAACATATAAACTTCATGAAGGCCATGTTTTCATGTGCCTGTAATGATCAGCATAATGCCCATGCATAGGAGGCATACTCTTAGTATTTGAGTAAATTAACATGGCTTTTAAAATGGATACCACAACAAAAATTTCTAAAGAGATACCATAATATAGAGAAAAGAAATATGGTTGAGAACCAGTAATCACTAGACCCGAACAGTATGTCCTCACCTGTTCACAGCTACAGCTGCTGGGTGCCAGACTATTCAGAGTTGCAGGTTTTATAACCCATGTCTTATAAACCATATTTTTGACTTAGTGTGTTTATCATCCCCCCTCTGTTCCTTCCTTCCATTTTTCCTTCCATCCTTTCATGCTTGCTTTCTTTCTTTAAAATTTTATTTTGTGTTACTGGGATAGAATCCAGGGCTTCACACATGCCAGAAAAGGACTCTACTGCTGAGCTACACCCCAGCCCTTCTTACAAAACAAATTTGAGACAAGGCCTCAGCCCAGGCTGGCCTTGAATTTGTGATCCTCCTGCCTTTGCCTTCTAAGTAGCTAGGGTTACAAACATGTGCTATTGTACCAAAACTCCTACCTATGTTTTCTTGAATGATTTTCTGTTCCCACTACCGACTTACTTTCTTTTTGTTGTTTTTGTTTTATTTTGTTGGGCTTTTTTGGTGACAGGGTCTTACTGTGTACTTCAGGCAGCCTTGAACGCACTCTGTAGCCCAGGCTGGCCTTGAACTCCCAGAGATCCTCCTGCCCAAGTGCTGGGATTGCTGGCGTGCGCAACCACACTCAGCTGTTTGTTTTTTTTTTATATCACTGAATATTTTATAAGAAGAAATGTGATTTATTTTAAAATAACTCTTAAAAATTAAAAATGTTGTCCATATTCTTTGTGTGTTTGAAGAATTGGATACCAATGACACATACAATGGGGATATTGAGAAAAGATTAGCCTTGCTTATTATTTACACAAATAGATTTTTGAAAAACAGTAATTTAAGGTTGCCAATATTGTTTTAGGTGCAAAATTTCCCATCAAATGGACAGCTCCTGAGGCTGCACTTTATGGTCGATTTACAATCAAGTCTGATGTATGGTCATTTGGAATTCTACAGACAGAACTTGTAACAAAGGGGAGAGTGCCCTATCCAGGTGAGCCTCCTTTGCTTAGCTCTTGGTGGTCCTGCCAGTGGCTAACGCGGTGTGTCGGGAGCAGCACTGTGTGGTGGGGCTCTTCCTTCTCTCTCCAGGCCTGCTCCTTATTTTGGTATTGATGGAAAACACGGAGTAAGAGCCCAGTCCTTGAGGTTGGGCAAGCACGGGAGGCGTACTTGGTATCTCTGCCTTCGCCTGAGGACTCTCTCTAAACAGCCGTTTTATCTGTTCTGTCTCTCAGATCAGAAACGTATCTTAAACACCCCCCAACAGTAATTGTTCCTTGCTACAAGTGTGACTGGTATATTTTCGTAAATATGCATTTGCCCTGTTTTCCTCAGTGGACTATTTGAGAAGAAATGTATGTAACTACTGAGGGGAAAAATGTTTCCTTCTTAGACAGGTAGATAGCTTGCCTACTTCTAGGGCAAGGAAAGCTTTTAGCTCCCTTGAAATTGAGCTGTGGCTGAGCTTATTTGAGTCTGATACTAGTTGAAGAGACTGAAGGCACGTGAAACGCAGTCTTTTTAAAAACCTGCTGTGCTACCTTAGGTGTGTGCACATTGTGTAGCGTATCCCTTCCCAACACCTCCTGCTGTAGATCTGACGCCGTCACATGTGACTTTGCCCATCGCCTCGTTCCTGCTGTGTGCTGCTGCTCTCTGTCCGAGCTGTCGCTTCGCAGCGGCTCCCCTTGCCCTTCCTGGTCAGAGTCCTTCGCGACCATTGGACTGTCCTTACCTGTGACCTGTCATCATTTGTGCCTTCACTGTCCATTGCCAGTGACTGCACTCGTTACTGCATCCACACCGTTCCCATGCCTCCTGTCTTTCCGGCTCTCTCTGCCCAAACCCTAGCGATTGCTTCACACTCTCTGGATCTTAATTCTCCTTTGATTCTACTACCTTTGTCTGTCCCCCACTGTCTTCATGAAATCCTTCCTTAAATCTCATGCTGAAGTAGTATAATAACACCTTTGTGTTCATATTTTTCCTTTGCCTTTCTCTCATTTCACCACTGTTCCTTGGCAAAATCACAACAGGTTTAAACTAGTTGTGCCTACATGATACCTACACACACATAGCTGGAGAAAGAAACACAACCATATGATGTAGTTTTACTTTGGATTTACAGCCAGAAGGAACTTTCAATTGGGGCCATGATGGAGTGACTAATACCCAGCCTGGTGCCTCACTACAAATAACTACAAAAACTAGACAAAATACGTGGCATGACTGTTTCCACAGCAGCTAGTGAAGGACACTGTCCTTAAACGGGCAGGCATGTAAAATGAGCCCTGTGTGTACATCACCTTTCTCCATGAGGGCATTTCCTAAAAGGGCACAAGGAAGAAGCCCCAGTAGGAAGCATGAGTCTCACTGAGCAGAGGAGACAGACCCAGGGGGCAGAGGGCAGGGTGCCAGAAAGGAAGGAGTCACAGCGAAAGGCTGAATTCCCCTAAGGTTGGCGATCCACTCCTGAAGCTGCACATGCACAGGGACAGGCGTGAGAGACCATAGGCTTCCAGAGAGTGCAGCAGAGCTCAGACACGCTGGCGTGCTGGCGACTCACTACCCAGCTCAGGCAGACGGATGTCGGTGATCAGGCTTGCTCTAGAAGAAAGGGCAGAGCTAAACAAAACCTAAATCCAGGCCTTGACAGACAAGATCCACGTAGTTAATCAGCAGTAAGCTTACTGGTGAATAAAAGCTAACATCTTTTAGAAAAAGATAACGATTTGGATAATCCACAATGTATGATTCAAAATGCCAGCAAAAAAGAAAGTTATTGAACATGTGAGAAAAGAAAGAAATGCCTGATGATCAAAAATTTAAGGTCAGTAGGAACAGACCCAGAGATAATCCTGATCTTGAAGTTAGCAAAAGCCTTCAAATTAGCAATACTTAAAACGGAAGAAAATCTGGAAAACACTGTGTCAACTGAAAGAAGACACTCGTGCGTGCACACACACATGTTCTAAGGTTCCATGTGTATGAAATGGCAAAACAGGCAAGGCCATAGAGACAAAAGCAGGCTGGTGGTGTCTAGTGGAGAAAGTTAGAGAGGAGTGGGGATGACTAATGATACATGCAGGTTTTTTGGGGGTGATGAAAATGTTTTAAATTGTTGACTTGTGATCGTTATGTAACCAAATGTATTAAAACCATCAAACTGTATGCTTTATATGGAGGAATTATATGGTATGTGAATTATACCTCAATAATATTGGTTTTTTAATTTAAAAAATGGGAAAGATTGGCAAGACGATAAAAAATACTGAAGAATTTGAATTTATGAAAAAGAACAAAATGGAAATTTTAGAGCTGTAAAAGGTGAGTTAAGAACAAATTAGAAAAAAAAAATCATAATGTTTAGGCCGGGAGTATAGCTCAGCAGCACAAGCACTTGCCTGGCAAGTGAAAGGTCCTGTGTTCGATTCCCAGTACCAAAAACAAAACAAAAAAACAAGTTAAATTAGATAGACCTATAAGACATGATTAGTGCATTCAAAGGCACATTAGTAGAAAACATCCAAAGTATTATGTAATGAGATGCGTGGGAAACAGAACAGAACAGCATAAACTGGGTGTGAGGTCCACGCCTGTAATCCCAGCTACTCAGGAGCCTGAGCCTACCTCAGGAGGGTCAGATGTTTGAGGCCAGGCCTGGGCAACATAGACCCTGTCTCAAAATGAAAAGGGGCTGGGGATGTCACTCAGTGGGGGAGCACTGCCTAGTGTATGTGAGGTCTTGAGTCCAACCCCAGTACCAGAACAGCAGCAAAGTAGAACAGAACGTCTACAGTAACTGGGCCGCGGTCAGAGTGTCTATTTATACGTGCTAATTGGAATCCCAGAAGGAGATGAGAAAGGAAGTGAAGCACTAAAAGTATTTGAAAAACCAGTAGCCAAAACCCTTCTAAATCTGATAGGTGGGGACATTGTACAGATTTAGTAAACTGCACTTCATGCAGAATAAATAGAGTCCAGAAACTTCAGGTAAGCACTTCATGGTCATCTTACAAAAATCAACACCAAACATGCATAGAGAGTAGCATTTAGTTAACATTTCCCTAGGATATGGGAGCCAGAGAAGAATGAAATTAAGTCTTTGAAGTACGTGGGAGGCTGAGGCAGGAGGATCGTTGCGAGTTCAAGACCAACCTGTGTTACAAAGTGAGCTCAAGGCCAGCCTGAACTGCAGAGCAAGACCTTGTCTCATAAAGACCAGTCAGTCAGTGAAGCAATCAATAAATTAAAGTACTTGGAAAAAAACTGCTGATTTTAAACAACAACAATAAAAATCACTTGCTGGACTTGTAATGCTTAGAAAAGTAAATTCTATGACAGTAATACAATAATGGTAAATTCTGGGTTAGGCAGGTAAAGGAGTAACAGGTAAGCCGTTTGAAGTTTCTTTCATTGTTTGGAAAGCGTAAAAATAATTATTTAGAAAGTGTAATAAGCCAAAGAATACTGTACTATATCTCAGTGACAACCGCTGACATGATAAGTACAAAGTGAGGAGAGGAATGGAGTGGTAGCCCAGTGGTAGATGTGTGTTTAGCATGCCTGAGGCCTTAGATGTGATCCCATGTGTGTGCACACGTGCGTGCACACACCTAGGGGAAAAGGAGATTAATGACAAAAGCTTACCTAATCAAATAAAAAGCAAGAGAGAAAAAACTGTGTGGGACAAATAATAAATAAGTATAGCAATAGGATGGTAGAGTTCAGCCCACTGACACCCATGATTACATGTAACAAGTTCGGTAAATGCTCCTAGGCCAGGGATATAGCTCAGTGGCATAAGCGCCTGCCTGGCGAGTGCAAGGTCCTGAGTTCAATTCCTGGTACCAAAAAAAAAAAGTAAATGCTCCTATTTAAAGATAGAGAGTTAAGGTGATTTTAAATACACAAGTGCTGTAACGTTGTGTATGATACATACTTTAAGGACAGGGTTCACAACATGACTAAAATTTAAGGTTGGGAAAAGATACACCATGCAAATCCAAACCACAGCAAAGCCTGTGTAGCAGTAGACTTGAAGGCACGAAGTATTATTAGTGACAGAAAGGGACTTTCATAATGATAAAATGATCGGTTAAATAGGGAAATGTAAAGGTCCAAAATGAGATGCAGCTAACTACATAGTTACAAATACATGAAACAGAAGTTAATGTGACTGGGGTGACCTAGATGTCCCGATGAGAATCAGAATATAAATGGTCCGTAAATTGGAAGTCATATATTGGCTGTGCCGCGGGTCAGACCCACGGTCTTGTGTATGCCGCTCTTTAAAGAAGAGAAAGGTACTGGGTGAGCGCCGCTGCCTGTGTCTGGTCGGCAGGTCGCACAGACTCCTCGCCCGCTGCAGCTCTTCTCCCCGCAGACAGCCCACTGCAGAGCCACAGCAGCGTCTCTGCTCATCTTAGTTTGTGACAGTGACATACCTGGGCAACGGCAGAGAGTGTGAGACTTCTAAATCTATTGACAGGGTGCTGAATATTTAGCATTTGATTTTAAGAACTGATAATCTTTGAGTTAGAATCTTCCTGTCTCCTTTTCTCCCGAGTAGTGCAGGAGAGATCCTACCTCCTGCTGGGCTCGGAGTGGTGTCACGTTCAGAAGCTCCCGGACAGGAAATGGCCTCTGATTGAAGACAGAACGTATTCTTGCCAGGAGCCGTTCCGGCCATAGTTTACTTTCATAACTGTTGGCGTAAAGTGAGTCAGTAGTTGTGATTATCAGAAAATTCTGAAGAGTCAAGTTTTGAATGAAAGTTTACTGATAACTCGGGCTAAGTGTACATAGCTCAGTAATAGGAGCATATACTTAGCGGGTGCAGGCCCTGGGTGCAATCCCCAGCACCCCAAAAAAAAAAAAAACCAAAAGCAGCTTATTTGTAATTGGAAGTTTTCTTTTTTCTTTTTTTTTTTTTTTTTTTGGTTTTTCTCCGGTACTGGGAACTGAACTCACGACCTTGCGCTTGCCAGGCAGGCGCTTTTGCCGCTGAGCTAAATCCCCAGCCCCTTGGAAGTTTTCTTATATGTTCAGACTAACCTGAATTGATTAATCTTAACAATCTGTTAAAATAATAAAGAAGCATAAAATAAAAGAACAAAGGCATAAGAGTGAAGAGGGTTAAAGTTCTCTCATTTTAGTAAGCACTCACTGAATGATGAATACCTTGCTCCTTCTTTGCTTACCACTAACAGTTTGGTTGTATTTTTGTGGTGGATAAAATATACTGCATTTCACTTACAAAGATGATACTACAGACTTAGATGAAAATCTCAGAAAACTTCCTTTCCAGTATTAGATCTCAATTGCATTTTCCTCTTAATAGTTTTTCTTTAAAATGTTTTGAGGAATCAGTTATTCCTGAGAAATATTATAACTAAAAATAGAACTAATTACTTAATGCCATTACATTGTTTTAAAGGAATCATGGTGTGTGAGACTCATTGCTAATGGTCAGTTCCAGATAGCAGGCGAGGAGGGCAGCCTGACTTGTGGACAGGCAGGAAAGGTGAGGTGGGAAGTCGGGGAGAGAGAGGGCAGGAAGCATTGGGAAAAGAGGGCTTTTGCTGGCCTGGGGCAGCACAGGGTGAGCAGTCTGTAGCGAGGGGGCAGTTACAGCAGTCAGAGAAAGGAACTGTGTGCAGTGTAACGTGAAGCCCGACAAGTGGTAACAGAGTAAGGAGACTGTTGCAAGGAAGTGACTCAGTATGAAGTTACGCGGTCAGTATTTGTGGCAAAACCAGGACTGCAGTTCTTCCTCTGAATTCCTGTTTGAAAGGTATTTCAGTAAGGCCAGGCATGATGGCACACGCCTGTAATCCCAGCACTTGGGAGGCTGAGGCAGGAGGATTGTTGCGAGTTCAAGACCAGCCTGGGCTACAAAGTGAGCTCAAGGCCAGCCCGAGCGGTATAGCGAGACCCTGTCTCAAAAAGACAAAAAAGAAAAAGAAAGTTATTTCAGAAACCGCCTTGCCCACTGCTCCTTATTAGCCCGAGTGAGGTTTTTGTTACGTGGTAATATCAGAAAATACCAGTACCTCGGAATGACAGCTTGAATTCTCCTTAATCACCTGCGGTTGACTTTGATGATATTAGTGTTAAAAGTTAAGGTGGAATGAAAAATTTGACATGTTAAATAGAGTAAGATTTTCTAAGTTTCTGTTGATTACTCTGATATTTAAATTTTGTCTTTTTGTTGAAAGGAGCTTTTCACTAAGTAAATTGTGTATGTCTTGAGTCATTAGTGGCTGGGGGTTTTGTTCTGTTTTTGCGTGTGTCAGTTGATGTGTGAATCTTGTATGTCAGGTATGGTAAACCGAGAGGTGCTGGAACAGGTGGAGCGGGGATACAGGATGCCCTGCCCTCAGGGCTGCCCAGAATCACTCCATGAATTGATGAACCTTTGCTGGAAGAAGGACCCTGATGAAAGACCAACATTTGAATATATTCAGTCCTTCTTGGAAGACTACTTCACTGCTACAGAGCCACAGTACCAGCCAGGAGAAAATTTATAATCCAGATAGCCTGTTTTACACGCACAGATCTGCCAAAATGTAAAGACCTTGTGTAGAGTTCCTCATGTACAGGAATGAAAGGAAGAAAGTCTTCTTCACTCCGCATGTTTTTAATGGTAAACTGGAATTCCAGGTATGACTGCACAAAACCACTTTTTTTCTTCTCCAAGTGTTAAACTTTAAAGTACCAATGATGAATTTTCCACTTTATTTCAGGGTCCAAAGAAAGTAGAGCTAAGATATTGATGACAGGGTGAGTGACAGAATGGTAAAGAAGAGCGGCAAGGTTACTGTTTTAAATCATTTCCTTTCTTCCTCAAACTTAGATTCTATAATAAAAATTATTTCTCATAATTTTAAGAGAAATATTATTGTAGGCAAAACTTGGGAGGTAAAAAGTTATACCATTAGTAAAATTTAAAGGAATTAATAGGACCAAATAATTCCATTCCAGTTTTTTTTTTTTAATTTCTTCCATAAATTATTCTCAAAAGTTTTTTTTCTATGTTAAACAGTCAGTCTGAAGTCTTAATATACACCTCCTTTTGTGTGGAAATGGGCCACGCTTTTCAAAAGCAAAATGAAACAAAAAGGATTTTAAACAGTATTTAAAATTTGACTGTTAGACCACAGCAGTGGTGTTTGAAAGTATAACACACTAATGTTTATATTCATATTCTTAGAACTGGAAAGTAGAAAAAGAAATTTTTCACCAGTGTCATTTTCTGGGTAGTTCAGTTTAGAAAAATGAAGGTAGCCTGAAAGGTGAGTTAATCTTTTATAAAATTGCATTGATCTTCTTAAAAGGCAATATATAATTGAAATTGTACTATCCAATCCAAGCGGAAATCTTTTAATCTTTAAATGGCATGAAAAGTAAGACCCAACATTTAAGCAGTCCATTTTTAGAAATAGACTTGGTACTGGGAGATGTTGCTATTGTATTCTTACGGTGATGGGTGCCACAAACAGAAAATATCACTAGATCAGGGACTTGAATGCACTTTGCTTGTTTTGAATATAGAGTAAGAGGGAAAATGTATTTAAGAGAAATATGAGAAAAGAAAATGTGAAAGTTTCACAGGTAGAGGGATGGAATTTAATGTTTAATGTTGATAATCATGGAGGGACAAAGTGGCTTTGCTGGCACTCAAAGCTTGTCACTTAGTTTTCTGAGACTTTAGGAGTTACAAGATATGTCTATAAAATTAATTTTTCTTAACATACACACTGAATGAGTGTTATACCCTCAAAATGGTGAAGGTAAAGCTTCACACTAATTCCAGTGACACAGCTATTATACAAAATATTTTTAGAACTCCTGTTTTCAAACCCATGTTTGAATCTTCATTCCTTTTTAAAATATACTTAATGGTAGGTATTTTTCCCTCTAGGAATATAGTTGATTTTGGGAGGAAAACTTACTCAGAACAGTAATAGTAGTTCAAACAGGGCCAGTTTTTGACCATTTGAAGTGTTAATTTTTCCAACTAACTCAGAAATTCCAGAGTGTGAATTTGAATAACAGCGTTACTGGTTTAAGAGTCTAGCAAAGAAAAATTGAATTTGATAAATAAAAGTCTACTATTTTTGTTTTTAAGAACAGTTTTATAGTTACAATTGAAAGCATTATATAAGGTTCCTATATTTTCAGCATATAATTTTTAACTACCATCACTTACCTGATTTAATCATGAAATTAAAAATTCTGTGCCATAGTATATATGTTCAAATTCAAGCCATTTTAAAATATGACAAGTGAACTTCATGCAAGATGGCAACAGTACTGGTACTAAAAATTCTGGTTGTTTCCTCTGTTTACATAACCTGTTTAGTATTGAGTCCCTCAACCAAGAGATGTTTCCTAAGAAGAGTGCTGTCATTATTTACCCTTAACGTAGACAACCTGTGACATGACGTTTTTAAAGGGCTTTATGTGAACTATGATATTGTAATTTTCTAAGTACCATTCACGGGGTAGCAAAATTATGTTTATTTACTAATTCTGATCAGAAAAATAAGCCAGGAAAACTGATGGTATTCATTAGATTTTAACTGAATGGAGCATTTCTTTCTAATCCCAATTGTATAGTAAGGATAAAACACTAACTTAATGTGTATTCATCTTAAATTGTTATGTATTTTTAAATTGCCAAGAAAAAATAAACTGTTTTGTATATTTGAAGCTTTTTCCAATAACTTTTGTCTTCAGTGTCTTAATGTGGAGCTTAACCCTTACCAAAAATGGAAGTTGGCAAAAACTGCCTTCTAGCACAAACACTTTTTTAAAAAATGAGTAATGATAGCCTAAAACTTAATATTTTTATAAAGTATTATATTGTTTTGTGGATAATTGAAATAAAATTTCTCATTGAATGTGCTTGATTTATCTTTGCTTTTTGTTTTTATGGGGTTTTTTGTTTGTTTTGTTTTGTTTGAGACAAAGTCTCTCTATGTAGTTCAGGCTGGCCTTGAGCTCACTTTGTGGTCCAAGCTGGTCTTGAACTTGCAAGGATTCTCTTGCCTCAGCCTCATGAGTGCTGGGATTGCAGGCTGTACCACCATACCTAGCTAACATGCCTATTTTATCTTTTCAGTTGCTATTCATATATTTTCTCATTACTTTTTTTAAAAAATTGATATATCCTAAATTTATCCTTCCACTGGAAAACTTAGTTACATGTAACTCCTAAGCTAAGTCAATTCTTTATTAAATTTATTATATTATTAATAAATTTATTATGTGTGATTAGTTCTCCATATCAAGTGAGTGATGCATTACTTTACAAGTACTTTGTTCCAAAAAAAATTATACCAGCAGGTACAGTCATTGCATAAAGAAAACTAAATGACTTGAGGTAAGCTATTCATAGAGGACCTATGTAAAAGACATAAAGCCGAGTGACCACTTTTGACTATAAAAACGCATAATGTGTGAGCCATATCTCTTGTGTGCTGTACTACAAGTTTAATGAAAATAAAACTAATACTAAATTTTAAATGGCCATTCAAAAGTATTCATGATTTTCCATACTGTAGTTGTGTTAATGACCTTTTACAGTCATATCATCTAAACCTGTTAGGAACAAATAACACTTAGGCAGCACATTTCCATTAGTGAATATTTATTGAGTAATTTTGTAGTAGTAATAGTTCAATTAAGAGTGTTTTTCTTGGGGACTGAGGATTTAGCTCAGTGGCACAGCACCTGCCTGGCAAGCGCAAGGTCGTGAGCTCGATTTGTACCGGAAAAAGCAAAAACAAAAAACAAACAAAAAACAACAACAACAACAAAAAGAATGTTTTTCTTATTTGCTGTTTGCCTTTGAATTTGATACATACTTTTTTGGACATTAGAGTTGTATACTTGTATGTTGTCAGGTCTATTCCTTTACATGTTTAGGAAGCGCTTGTGTTCTTACGTGTAACTTTTAAGGCCTGACATGATTTTACCCATATGGTAAAATTTCCCAGCACCGTTCAGTGATTAATCCACTCCCACCCCATTGGTTTGAGTTCTTTATTTTATCTTTATTTCCCTTTCCCTTTCCGTTTCCCCTTTTTTTATTTTTTTTTTTAAACCCTTTTACCTCTTTACTTTACCTCCCTGCATTGCCCATGACAGCCTCATACTCGGAATCTTCCTGCCCCAGCTTCTGAGGTAACTAGAAGTGTGAATGCATTCACCTGCACCCTGCACCCAGTTGAGTTCCTTCTCTTATTATTGTGCATATTTGTCTAGTTGTCATTTCTGACATCAAGGTAACATGTAATTTATTTCACTTGATAATGCATTATAATAGGCTTTAGCTTTTTTTAGCTTTTTTTTCCTTTAGCTTTTTTTTTTAACTCTCGGTATCCTGGCACATTCTTGATGAGGTGTAGGCTTTATTTTTCTAAAACTCCTGGTGAGGTTTGGTTGAATTGCATTATGCCTATAAAGTAATTTGGTGAGCACTGGGATCTTCCAAATCAGTCTCGCCGTCTTCACTTAGACCTCATAGTATTCAGCATTCACAGTGGGCAGGCTGGGAGTGTAGCTCAGTGGCAGCATGCAGTTAGCCTGCATGAGGCCTTGAGGTCAGTCAGTGCGATACTGAGCCATGACACAATATGGAGGGAACAAAAGATTACATACTGTATGTCCAACTGTATGACCTCCTGGAAAACAGCAAGGTCAGTGGTTGCCAGGGAAGGAAGCCTAGGACCACAGAGGGTTCTTAGGGAAGTGGAGATACTCCGTATTTCCTTTTTTTGAGGTTTTAATGTAAGTCATATTCTTTAATTTCACATTCTATCTGTCCATTTGTAGTGCAGTAAAACTTTGGTTTATGAACATAGTTCATTCTGGAAACACGCTGTAATCCAAAGCACTTGTATGTCAGAGTGAATTTCCCCATAAGAAATAGTGGAAACTCAGATGATTCATTCCACAAGCCCAACATACTCATCTATTAGTACTTACGGTGCTGTAGTATACTACAGAGTAATGAAGAAAATACAAAAATAGAAAGAAAAGTGAGCAAATTACCTGCACTTCACTGTGCAAACCTTCATGGCTGTATGAGGGCGGTCAGAGAGACAAGGGGTGCTGTGCGGGACGACCTCCGCTGTCACTAGTGGACTCACAGCCGTCTGTGGGCTCCGTGGAATCTTTTTCTTTTCATGCAGTTCTAATAAGGAACCTATTCAGTGACCCTTGCTTTTGCCCGCTTTTGAAGGTTTCATAAAAACACGACCTTGCATTGTCATTAAACAGATTCATTGCTCGTCTGCACTTACCTGTGTAATGCTTTTCTACAAAATTTTGCACTGTGTCCCACGTGTTAGACCTCTCCCTAGTTTCATTTGAAGGGAGGGATTCCTCTGCGTTTTTCTCCTCCTTTGTAGCCGAGAACTCCTCCTCAGCCTCTTACTGCTGCTTGCAGTGCAGATCCAACCAGTTCATCAGCAGTCAGCTTCTGGCCACGTTCCCCTACCAGCTTTTGGATGTTTTCCTCCTTCACGTCCAGTCCCAGGTCTTCCCCAAGGACACACTTTCATGGACAACTGGTGGCTCCTCTTCATGAGCAAGGCTTCCTAAGTCATGTCCAAGAACGCAGTCAGGCCACAGTTTTCTCCACGCAGAATTGTGGGTTCTCTTGCAGGTTCTGTCCAGGATAAAGCCGTCCCAGGCTTTATGGATGATCCAAGAGCAGTTCACGGTATGGAAATGACTTTTCCAAAACTTCTAGAGGGTAACACTTGTTCCTTTGGTCACCTCAAAGCAGCACTGAAATAATGTTTAGGTGTAAAGCTTTTAAAGTTCAAAATGAGCTGCTGATGAGAGTGGAGTGGTGTTGGGAAGAAAGACCTTGACCTTAATGAACTCAAATTTTTCCAATAAGTCATCCTCAAAACCTGGAGGATGAGCAGGAGCATTATCCATAGCCAGAAAGGCTTTGAGCAGTAAATCATTTTCTAAAAGGTATTTCTACACTGCAGGACCAAAGACCCCATTGGTCCACTCAACGAACAAAATATGAGTAACCAGGCCTTGCCTTTAGACCTCCACATAATGTTTATCTGGATCTTCTGCACCTTGCATTTCTTGAAAGCCCATAGGTTCTCAGAATGATACACAAGCAGGGGCTTGACTTTGAAATCCCTGCCTACTTCAGCACAAAACAAGGTGAGAGGGGTCTTTCATGGACTTAGCCCAGGCATTGCATTTCCTCTGTAATGTCGATCCTCCTTGGCATCTTTTTTCCAAAAAAGTGCATCTCATTACAGTTAAAAATTTGCATATACAAGGATAGCTGGGATAGGTGTATTGCTGATGTCTTTGGTTTATTGAAAGGAACAGTCAGTGCTTCAAATTTTCTTTTTTCTTGACCAATTTTGCACTCTTGAATCTGGTAATCAGAATGACTGATCTGAAAACAACGAAACACAATATAAGAACCATTGTTGAACTCCTATAGTCTTATATGGTGAAACTGCATTATTTCCAATGTTTTTTTTTTTATTACTTGTTACTGTCTTTGATTGTTTGATCCATCTTATATTCTTACGTCTGGTGGACTGAGCAACTTCGTTGAAGATGACAGTATATGATGTAGCAACCATTGTTAATTCCTATCATTTTGCTTTGAGGTCATGTATTGTTTTTATTGTTTTTGTGTTGTTTTGATTTTTGTCTTTTTTTTTTTTTTAAGTTTTTAAAATAAAAAAAAAAAAATTTGCTCTGGCAGGTAACACTTGGAAGCTGTGAGCTTCTGGAACTTAGTAGTGAATAGCTCAGCTGCTTAGCACCCAAACAGGATGCAGTGGGGTATAGTCATGAGGCCTCTCCATGCCTCACAACACTATGGATGCCACTTCTCTTAAAGTTATCACACCATCCCCTGCTTGCCTTGAAACCTTCCTTCTTTTCTGTTGATGCACATGGCAGTTTACTTACGAGGTCAGTGTGTAAGGCTTTGCCTTCTCGCAGATAATACTCTTAGTCACACCTGCTAGTTCCTTCTCATTTCTCCACACCGGAAGCAACTTCTCTACATCTCCAGAACCTGCGGCCACTACTTTGCTATTCTTGTGACTCCTTTTGCTGCATCTAGCCCCCTTATTTCTTCCCTTTCCTTTAACATTGTGCAGTTGGTGGATATAGACTTACAAAAAGCATGTAATTTTGGCCACTTGCATACTTTGTTTTTACTTCTCAATCATTCCCTTCTTAATTTCCACTGTCATCATCTCCTTAGCACCTTTTCTAAATGGGGGCCATTGTATATCCTTGCACAGATGTTGACTACAGTACAGTATTACTAAACTCTTGTCATATACTGTTTTTTTGTGTTTATGAGACAGGGTCTCACTATGCAGTTCAGGCTGGCGTTGAGCTCACTTTGTAGCCCAGGCTGGTCTCAAACTCACAAAGATCCTCCAGCGTCAGCCTCCTGAGTGCTGGGACTACAGGAGTGCGCCACCACGCCCGGCCATACACTGTGTTGAATGGAACTGGCAATAAGGCAGTAGAAGAAGTGGTCTGTAGGGGCAGGCAGCATGATCTAGAATGAAGCAAAGCATTCCTAAGCTTCCTCTTGTATGCAAAAGCAGAAGACTGTCCATAAGTGCTTTGACGTGACAAAAAAATAACACTTGGGCCAGTTGTGGGCACCTTCCAACATTCTGAAAAAGCACTGGTTTCTGCCTAACAC